ACAGACTGACTGGGGATTGCATCTTACATTAGGTAAAAATGGACAAAAGCTGCATATTAGGATGTCAGTTTTCCACTGAGATGGGAGAATCATCATGACAATTGTTAAGTAAGCCAATTAGTATTGTTCAGTGTCATCTTATGTATGTCTGATAATAAATAAAATGCTCACAGTTGCAAACACTCCCACATTTAACTCCTCCTGACATATAGAAACCTAGTTCAATACTCTGAGTTTGCTTGAAGGTCATCTTCCCATCATCCCTTGATCTGATCATATTCCATATTATCCTCAGCTTACCTACTATTCTTAGCCTATAATCCTTCATATTAGCTTAATGTAAGTTTATAGTTACTCATGGAAATTGAAAATTGTGACATTTCTTATGAGGAAAAAGTTAAGGTAAGTGAAATTTTCAAAGTACATTCTGAGAAAAGTATGCTTCAAACACAGTGTGGTCCTAAGTGGGGGAGGGAGTAAAACTCTGTTCCTGGAAAAACTCTTAACATGTGTACTTACTGAAGAATAAATAAAAGCTTTCAAAATGCTGAAATTAATGATCCCTAAGAGAGTTACAAAATATTCTATGTCAAAATGTTCATTTGACCATAGATATTATTTTCAGGCAAACCCACATTTTGGAAGTCCTGTTCCACAGGATTGGTAGAACCCCGTTTTTAAATTGCCAATAAAAAGGGAAAAGGCTAATGTAAGATTCGTGATAACAGTCTTTGGGTAAACGGGATTTTTTTCCAGGGAGGGCAGATACAGGTGACTTGTGATTGTATCAGCATGTATATATGTAAAACCTGTTCAACAGAGAGAACAGTGGGCCAAGAGGAAGCCAAGTGTGACACAGCATAATTTTTCAGGATGCATGATATGTAAAGTACTAGAAACTTTAAATTGTGTGCACAAGCGACTATCCCCCTGGTAGTTCATCCTTTAAGAAAATATAGGACCATCTCATTTTATTCTCATGGGATAATTTCACCCACCAACCTCAGAACTGTATTATTATATGCTATAGTTAATTTAAAAACTGAAACACAGTTTGAAGCAAAAATTGTTTCAAATATAGCAAATTATTTTTAAGCCCCACAAATATAATGAAATAAAAATTTAAGCAGGATTCTCCCAATATCAGAAGATATACTCAAGATATTTGAAAAATATATTTATACAAACATTTGTACATGATAGCTCACAGCAGTGATAGCCATATTAAATCAAATGTGAGAATACATCAAATACTCACCAACTAATGAATAGGCAAATAAAGATACTGTCATGCAATGAAATAAGATTAACTACTGAAAAGAATGGAATTCTTTGCATACCTAACATGGGTGACACTTGAAACCATCAGGTTAAGTGAGAGAAGGCACATATTTCTCATCAGTGAACAGAAAGGGTAACTCTGTAGAGGTATCAAGGAAATGGCCAGCTTCCAAGGATGGAGAGTAGGAGGAAGTAGAGAGCAAATTCTATTAAGCAAACAGTTTCTTACTGAGGGGATCAAATGTTCTGGATTTAGATGCCTATTAAGAATTATTACACATGATGGTGAGTAACAACTGAAAAACACTGAATCATATACATTAAAATAGGGCTTTCTAACTTATAACTAAGTAGTAAATTTTAAAGTAAAACGGCAAGTTTGGTCTTACATAAGTGGGAATTACAGAATGCCTTCTATGTGTTAACACCTTTGTAATTGCTTTACTGAATTGACTTGTTTCACCCTCAAAATAATGCTCTATATTTTAATAAATGAGAAAGTCGAGGCACCTTGCTCAATGTCCGCCTTGCTTTATTTTATAGACCAAGCTGAGTTAGAAAAATAGGCAGTCTGACTCCAAATGCAGGCTCTCCACTAACTTACAGATGAAAATACCTTTAAGAAGATGGAGCTACCCAAATTTCCCAAAAGCTCTGAATGATGACATCCCCCCCCCCCCCGCCCGCCTAGGTTTTTCTCTGTGGTTGATTGAATGCCACCGAAGGAGAGCAAAGTAGTAGTGAAAAGGGTAGAAGACCCAGAAAAGCATAAAATGTTCCTATCAGTCCCTAAACATATTTAAAAAAAAATGTATCAATCCTTCAATTATACCATATACAATGCTTTGAAACTCTGTCACCAAACATTATACCAAGGTCAGTCCTCCTCCTTGACCCCTTGTTTTCTCTACATTCTGCAAAATAAAACTGCAGCTGTGATTATCAGTTCACTGGCAGGCAATGAATGGAATGTTTATGTTCTCTTCAGATTAATGTACTAAAATCCAACTCCCCAAAGTAATAGTATTGGGAGATGAGTTCATTACATAAAGAGAGAAGCCCCCTTGTGAAGGGGATCGGTGCCCTACAAAAGCTACAAGGTTAAGTTGGCCCTACCACCACGTGACAGAACACTAAAGGTTTTCCTGTGACTTGGAGATGGCCATAACTTGACCTTGGTCTCAGCAGTCTCAGAAGTATGGGAATCAGTTCTTGGCTGTTCTGAAACCATCCTATCTATGGTCTTCTGTGACTGCAACCCCAAGTCCCTTCCCTTATGGGTGTCCTTTACCAAAATATTCTTGAAATAGTTGAATTAGTTTATTTGCCATCTAACAAAACACAACAATTACCTATATTTTGTTGGCTCAGATACATGGGTTTGGAAAAAGTTCTGATTGCCTCCCCTGTGTCATCTCCTATTGGTCCCACATAGTGAAAGCTGTACCACTCAGTTCCTTTGTCTTCAAGACTGAAATATCCATTTTCTTCTTGTTACCGAAAGACTCTCCCAGGGATAGTCATCTTTGGGAATTAGCTTCTACTAAACAAAGACACCTTATCCAGTGTCATGTCCCTTTTCCCAGAGGCAAGCCACAACCAAAAACTGTAAATACAGAAATATAAAAGCCAACCCCTTGGGCTCAAGGAATTTTCTCACACCAAAGATATGATCCCCTAGAACATTATCCTATAAACTAGCTCAAAGGCTGTTTCTTATAAAAATTGATCCCTGCCATGCTTTTCCAGTTGGAATTTAAATGTGGCATTTGATATTATGTCTGAATTTTGAAAGTAGAATTTTAGAGTAGAAAATGACCATATATGCTCTACTCATCATTAGTTCATGCCAGAGGTGGTGGCCCCTACCACAACTCCCCTTTGCAGGGTAAACACACCATGTTGTGCCTTAAGTCAATTTTCTCAGAGGCAACTGTAAGCAAAAATCAACTCTTTTCATAGTCCTGGGACTCTGAAATGTGACAGAGATGACTATGAGAAGAGTCTCTGAAGTCCAGATTTTCCCAGGTGTGTGTTATAAAAAGATAATAAAAAGTCCATTGTGGAAAGTCATCTAATCAGAGACCGCCAATAATTATGCCAATAATTTATCTTAATCTGTTTGGTGACTTTGTTTTTCCAGTTGGGTGAAAATAGGCTAGGGGTGAGTCTTAATTACTATCTAATTACTAACCATACACTGACTATGGGTACTCTTGTACATCCACTAAAGAAACCTCCATTCCACACTACTAATTGCTGTAACATTATCATTTATCGCTTTGCTTGCTTACAGCACTATTACTCTGATACTATGAGAAGCCACAGAACTTCTAGCTCAGAATTCTCTTGGAGCAAGTATAAAGATCATTTGGGGAAATTTGAAACACTACATTAAGGGCATGGGAAAGCGATCATAGATATTACATATTGATATAAATATTATCTATGATATGTAAATATACTTGTGTGTTGATATACATATATAACAAAAAGGGAAGAGAAAATTGCTAATAGCATGCAGTAAATGCTCAATAAATTAAATAATTAAGTCATGGATTAATAAACTGAAGGAGATCCTCCTTTTTAATCTTGATGAGACTTTTTCAATCTGGAATTTTAAAAAAGAAAATGCATGTTCCAGGCTCATTCCCAACTTCACTAGTACAAAAATAAGCGAAATTTAATCGAAAATTGGAGTCAGAAAACAACAAGAAATCGCACCCATTTCCTCTTCATGACAGAGCATACAGAAGGAAAACTCATACCCAGCCTGTTAGGAACACGGTTAGTGTGACCCTTACAGACGCCACAGATGTGAAACATAGCAGGCTTCCAACAGTCACACAGCGCAAGGTGGCAGCAACTCTACAGATACTCCAACAACATCCATTCCCAGACAATGAAAAACTTAAGCTTCTTTCTTGTTTACATGACAGTGGACAAAGGCAGCCTGTGATTGTTTGCACTACAGAACACTGTTCACCAGGAGTGACATCCTCAACATAGACTCAACAGGAAAGTAAAATGGGTTGAGAAGGACAATGACAATGAGAATACTAAAACTATGACCTTCAGGACTAGCTTACTCAGAGACAAGTATTCTGTAAAAAAAAAAAAAAAAAAAAACAAAAAAAAACTACTTTCATTACTATGTCTAAGTATTTTGAATATAAATTTACAGCACTCAGTGAAGTCCCATGTTACTTAAACCAGAGAGGAATAGGAGCAAGAAGGAAGGAGAAAGGGGGAAAGGAAACAAAGACAGGGCAAGGAAGGGAAGAGAAGGAAGAGAAAAGAATAGGAAAAAAGTCAACTCTTCAAATATGGTCCCTATTTGTTTTAAGTCTGGACTGTAGACCACATTCCAAAAGCCAATCTGTTTTACAATGCATAACTGAAACATACCACTTTTGAAATCCACGGGGCAGAACACATGGAGCAGAGTACACAGTCATGGGAGACTTAAAGAAGGGTTGACTTATTTGTAAACATAAGGTACGAGAGATCCAGTTCAAAGGAACAGATTCCCCGCATAGGCGATGGGAGAAAAGTGCTGAGACCTTTCATAGGCAGAGTTTTAATGAGCCAGTCTTTGTACTTTCCACAGGAATATGGGAATCAATTGCAAAATGCCTCGGTTCTACAAGCATAGCAGCTCTAAGAGAAAACTTTGGAAGAAGAATTTTCCAAACCTATGTCTTAATCTGTCCACTCACCTGTATCAAAGCTCATGCTTGGCATGATGTCCACTGTCCCATGAAAGGCTCCAGCCCATGCTGAGGTAGCCGTGGTGACTGTAGTCGGATCTGTCTTTGTGATGTCACACTGGGGAGCAGGAATCCTGGCAGTACGCACTGATGGCATTAGCAGGGGCCCGTAGGCGGGATCCAGGGCAGAACCAGCAGTTGGGTGGTGGTGGTGATGATGGTGGCGGTGGTGCATATGAGCGTGAGGGTGGTGATGCCGCATGTACATGTCATGCATGTGGCTGTAGGATGGGCTCACCTGAGATGCCAGAGGATAGTGCCAGGACTCGGATGCAGGAGGGGGTGGGGCGGGGCCAGTCTGATGTAGACCATGTCCTGGCCAAGAATTGGGGTCTGCTGTTGTAAAGGTGCCATGGGGTGCAGTGACTTGGAAGTCAGGATGAACACCCCCCAAACAAGGCGCAGGAGGGGGCTGGTAAGAGCTGGTCCAAAAGGAAGCTGGGAAATTACTCCGCTGGCTTGAGAGAGCTGAGCTGTCTGAGAAGACAGAAAACACGTTATTTACATAAGATACACTTCTGGGATACATTTGCCTTTGCTTGTCCAGTTATATTTTGCAAGCAAGTGGATTACCACGCACTTTGTTCTCTCTGCAAAGAGGAATAAGCTGTTCTTGGGTTAGCCTGTGGGAGCCCATATCAAGGAGATGGGGCAAGGTTGAAAGTGTTAAGCGAGTCTCTGCATTTGCTTGCTGACCTGCCTCTGTCCCAGTCTGAGCTAAGGTTTTTGCTTCAGTTTAAGGACTGAAACGTTTCATTTCCTGCTGGTATCCTTGTGGCTCTTGGTTCCAAACAGAGATCATTGCTATATATTTCTCTGGCAAAAAACATTTGTGCCATAGATGAGGTGGGTGTAGAACGAAAGTATTTTCACTAACGTCTTTGAAATGTCAACATAATTAAACTTAATACACCAAGGCCCAAAGTAAGAAATGGCAGCAAGATCATAAGTAACTGTCCCCACAAAACCATTGATCATTACAAAGAATATATTTTGTCTTTTTACTTTCTGTGGAAACCTAGGAGTCCTGTGGCCTTGGAAATAACAATGGTTAACATTTAATGAGAGTAGTCAAATGTCCAGCACCAGCCTACAGGCTGCACATGAGCTCGTAGAATTCTCACTCCAGTCCTATCAGAAAATGGAGACAGGGCAAAAGTCTAAGATGTTGGCAAGCACAAGCCTACCCTTCAAAACCAGATACCCTACCTTAATAGTCAAAGGGTGGTAGACCTCATACTGGCCAAAAGAGGGAACAATTATGACTGCAACCTGATCAGATGGATTTGGAGACAGTCTAGACTAGATAATCTGTTGTGAGCAGTTTTCCCCGCCAGCATGGTCCCATAGCTGCACCAGCTCCAAATACCACACAGAGATGCTGTGATATATTAGATATAAAGCTGTTGGGCCTGTTACTAGTGTCTCTTATTGGCTAGCTCTGTCTTAAATATTAACCCATTTCTATTCATCTAGGTGTTTTCATGTGGTCTTATCATTGTAGAGACTGTCCAGACCTCTGCTCTCTCAAGTCTTTATATCTCAAATCCCCTTCTACCTCTCCCTGAATCCTTCTTGTCTCCTAGTCCCATCTATCTTGCTTTTCTATTGGCCAACAGGGCTTTATTCATATGTAACTTATCTTTCTCTGTATGTCTAGAAAACCTAACTCACCTATCTTCCATCATCTAAAATAAAAAAGAAGGGTTTTAACCTTCTTTCCAAATTGCTTCCTGATGGTAGGGGGTGCTGTCTTGGGGATCCTAAGAAGATGTAGAAATCTTGGCTGTAGTGGTCTGTAAGGCTGTCTTGTCCCAACTGTTTTGAATGTTGGATCACCTAGGACACTTCTTTAGGGGGATCTTGCTTGATTAAACCATGTTAGTCTGGAAGGAATCCCATAGCTTTTCATTTTTTGTGGAAACAAAAATAGAAATTCTTTTCCCCAGTAACCTGTCCTTAGACAAGGTATTTTTATAACATATAAATTAGATTATAGGGTTGCTTTTACTTACTTAGGGTTGGGTATGGAAGGTGATGCTTAGACTCGAGTATCTCTTTTAGACAGGTATAGGGTATGGCTGGAAAATGTATGGTTATAGATTCATATATGTGGTAACCTATGTGAAATTAAGTTTATATTCCCTTCGTGGATAAATTGTATATTTTGTCATTGTGTAAAATCTTTCCATTTATGATGTTTATACACAATATCCTTACCATATTCTATGTATGTATACTTTTACTTATGTTCAAGACATTTTGTATATTGATACAATTTAGGATATTTTTTTTATCATGCTACACTATACAGTTCTACCTCTGGTCAAGACATTTCTACTCATGTACATGTGTGTGTATATATATTGTTTATATATGTTTATATATTGTTATATAAATTGTTATATATTTTTATATATGTTGTTATATAAATATATGTTTATATATTGTTATATTGTTTAAGTATTTATCCCTGCTTTACTCAGGAAAGTTTCGACAAGTTTTATAGCTAGGTTCCTGAGTATTACAGATTATCTTCACCCATGTTTCTTATCATTATAAGATTAGTCAGACATAGATGCTTAATCTTCAATCACTTCATAGACCTGCAGACTATAGCATTTAAATGTTTTAATATTAGTACTCCATTGACATGATCCACTATTCCTCCTGACAGCACCATACATTTTCACAAAAATCCATTGGGCACCTTTGTCACTCCTTCTGGAGTCCATCATCACATCAGCTAATGGCCTCTTGGGCAAAGAACTGCCTCTACCTCGACCTGATTCGGTCCTATGTGCTTGCAGGAGACAAACATAGAAGACTGCTAAACCTTGTCAAGTCAGGATAAGACAGCCTTTCTACCTGCCTGGTCTATAGTGGTCTGTCAGGTACTCTAGGCCTTAGCCCAAACTGGTTGTACCAACATTGCTGTGAGACCTCGGGTGACTGTCCAGATAGCCTGCTGTTTCTGTCCTCACTGTACCTTTTAGAAGTTGCCCATCCACACTTCCTGCCTACCCTAGTATTATCTTCCTTCTCAGGTCTCTGATGAGGTTGAAGTTTAAACTATCACAACTATTATTCTCTCTTCCTAGTTAGACATATTAGGTATTAGATTTGAGCTTTCCAGCTTAGGATAACTCTATTGTAAATCTCTGTTAAGCCTTCACCCTAGGACTAGATATGTAGGCCTTAAGTTGTTATTCACTGTTTTGTGTATAGTTTTGTATCAAGACTAAATCTTTTCTTTAGACTAAAAGGAGAATTTTAGTGAAATATTCACTTGTGTCCACATCTGGGGCAATGACCATGCCAATTGGGGGTGAGGACAGGGGTGGATGTGACCTGGGGGAACTAGTGCTTTCTTCTCTCTCTTGCTTGCTGGACAGGGACAGAGAGCATCCGGAGGCATCCTTGGGACCAGGAACCTGCTGGTGTTCATCTATCTCTGTTGTAAGTTATTTCTCCCTGAATAAACATCTATTCAGCCTATCTGTTTTGCCCGATACTTATTAAACCACAATAATAATCAACATAGGTTCAAGTTGAGCTATACTTTTCAGGCTGTATTAAGAAACTGTGGAAAACTACAGGAAGGAAGGAACATCCTCCTCCATCAGTTCCCTCAATTCACGGTCTCTGTCATCTCAGTGTTTACAGGTGACCTACATGGGTCAGACTAGAAAAAGTCAAAGATGTACAAACAACTGTCTCTGGTAATCATATCAGGGGGTGCATAACGGAGGAAAATGGTGCAAATGTTTTCAAGAGTAAACCCATAAAATGAGTCAGAAAAGTAATAACCATGTCAAATTAGAATGGCTGAGGAGGAGGTAGGACTAGCGGTGAGAGGAAGTTCTAGACTGATGGAATCTCAGATGGAATATTAATGTATGTACACAATCTACATAGGTGCGCCAAACACAAAACCACCAGTATAAGTAGTATCTAAGGGATAAACTTCAATAGGCAAAATTTGGTGAGTTTGGTGGGGAGTGGAGATATGAAGAACTCAGAAGTATGTGACCTTTCTGGTCAGAGGATTGAAATGAACTTTATCAGTAGAGGCCTCCTAAGGATCATGAGAAGATTTGAATACAAGCAATGCCAAAGTCAAATGTGTATTTAGAAATGCCTCGGTCCACTCCATAATCAGCATCTTATAACAATATGTGTCCATATAAGTCCTAAACTGGGAATCTTCCTTTTCTTTCATTATAGACATGTCCTTTCTCATAAGCATAACTGGACTTCTTGATCTCTTTGTCACTTTCTTCCACTAAAATAATCAAGTGTTTTAATTCATACATTTGTAATTATCTTGTTCAATATTTTTTCATTCTGCCAAATAGTCTATTGATTATTTCCATTAAAATTTGAACTAAGGTTGCAATTGGCATTACTTATCCATATGCATTTTTAATGTTTTTATGCCAGATTCAACATAAAGATAAATCTAGATTTTCTCATTGAACAAAGAATAACCTAAGAGGTGTTTATTATTAGAAATTGTTAATCTAACATGTTTAGCATTTCTTACAATCCAGGACATGAACATATTTTTTTCTTGCCTTAATATAAATAATTTGAACAAATTATCACATGTATCATGAGGTTAACCAAATCAGTCTATCTGTCATATTCTGACATCTTCTCTAAGTTCCCTAATGAGTTTGATATTATCAGAGCATGAAACTTTATTCTCTCCCCTTCAGATCTGCACCAGTGTTTCCATGATTCACCCCTTTACTGTGGACCAGGGACCCACACTTTCATAGTCATCTTTCTCTCTCATTACCATGGATCTCAGATTCCATGGAGAAACCTTTGAAATGATGCTCTTCAAGAGAGAAAGGATAGAAACTGTTGCTGAAGCCTTCATTCATCTCCAGCAAGGTCTTCAGTAAATGAGGGTTTCTTGACACTCACCATTCATTAAAAGATTGAACTTACAAACCAGCCTTATGGGCATTGTAGGGCAGCTTGCCAACCATCAATCGTCAATTAACTGGCACACTTCCCATCTTTGGTACCATTCTGCTCATATTCTGTATCTCTAGTTACAACCTGAACCTAGATATGAAAACTGACAATCCCTGATCCACAAAGATGTTCCAGGGACAAAAGTTCCTCTTATTGAACCTCTTGAGGATAATGTCCAAAATACAGAAATAATATTCCACTTATCTGGATATCTACCTTCCTCTTGATTACTATCAAAACAGAATCATTGTTTTATTTTTATATCTACATCATATATATATATATGTGTGTGTGTGTGTGTGTGTGTGTGCGCGCACAAATTCTCATGGCCGATATGTTCTTTACTAAAGTATTATATGTTCTACTTATGAAGTACTATATTATGATGAGTGAACATATTATCATTGAAAGAAGAAATCTAATTTTTTAAAGGCACTCCTTAAAAAATTGAACCATTCTTTAAAAATCCGCAGGGGGAAATAAAAGCA